AGAGAGAGAGAGAGAGAGAGAGAGAGAGAGAGAGAGAGAGAGAGAGATAAAGAGTGAGAATAGCACGACAGGGATACGGACAAAAAGGGGGAGAAAAATAAAACTAACACTTCTAGTGGATAGCAGAGGCGCAAGTGTTGAGACCAAATATCGCGATTGAATCATATTTCAACACATGGAATATTGCGAGTAGCGACCTTTGCATTCCATTCTTGATACAAAGTTCGAATTGCTACGAAAGTTTTGCACTTGCACAATGTTACTCAACTATGACAGCATGCTTGTTTCTGTTTCACCCTTCGTGCAAAAAGGAAAGAAACTCATTTCCAACTTGGAACTTGAACACCACTTCGTTGTCAAATGTTCACTATGTATTTCCACATACAAGTCCTTTGGGTTTCGGGTGATTGTATCTACTATAGTTTACTTTTGTATGAGTGTGCATGTACTTTGTACTATCTCTTAAAGCCAAGCATGGGCAATACACCAGACTATGACTGCATTGAAAATGTTTTTTTTGTTAGTTTATCCATTTGACTTTCGCAAATAGAAAGTAAATTTAAATTGTAAAAAAATTGAAGCAATTTACTCATTGAATTCGTCGTTTTAATCAAAAGAAAAAGTCGTAGGATACCAATTCCATCTTGCCTTTTGAGTCAATCAAAATGAATTATTTTCGGATGGATGAAAACATTTTTTCTTGAAACATACTTGAAATAAGCTCGAAGAGATAGTATACGTTAATGCTTGATGACTTCGAAGTCCGTGGTATGTTCGTGCACACCAAGACGGAACTTGCTTCATTCGTCTCCAGTGAAAAATATCCAAAGATACAAGAATACTGTTACACATTGGAAAATCCTATAAACACAATGCAGAGTGGAAGCGAAAAGTGCGCTTGTCTTTCCGCCTGCTCTGACTTCAATGTTCGTTATTCAAGCGTCTCCGATGATTAAGCGTTGAATACGATGAACGTGCCCCTAATTTTCTTAAAGTCGGCCACATCCGAATCCACTGAAAGTCTTAAGAAAGTATGATATAGTCAGTGTTGTAAGGAATACTTTTGGTGTTCCGATCAGTATCTTTTCGAAATCCCATGAAACAAAAATAAATGCATTGGAAATGTTTGACGAAACCGTTTCGTATTCGGATGGTTCAACATGGAAAATTGTTGAATTATTCGTGTTCAACTGAGTGCAATCGGCATTGCTTTTGTGTGTATTCCGTATATTTGCACTACCATCGTAGATCCGTCTCTGTTCGGCGATTGTGTACTATGTACGTGGATGGGATATGCATGCGAACGTGTTAGTGTGATTTTGTGTATCTATTTGAATGCTGTGGGACATAGACATGTGTTTGTTACTTTGGCATTGGTTGTGTGATATGTCTTCAGCCGAACGAAACGAAGCGTACACACAATGGAGGAATACACACAACGGATTCAATTATTTTGTTGGTTACTAGCACACAGAGTACGATTAGATCCCATTGGAAATTACAACGTCAGTCCTAGATTTATACTCAGTGTGTACAGTTCTCTATCGCACTCGCGTTTTTATCTATTCAGCCAAAATACACAAACAACTCTCCGCTTTTTGGTTCTGTATTTAAAACGTTACGTGCATTCGTATTCATTTACAACAAAACTACTATCTATCTACTTACTTACTTCATCTCTCGCTTTGCATCTTTTGCCATGGTTTGTGTTTAATTGTTAATGTTTAAATGAAGAAAAAAAAACGAAATTCATCTTAATAGAAACAAAATAACTCGTAGTTTTTAGAATAATAAAATATGTAAACAATCATCATAACGGCAGTTAAAATGTTTTCTTATCATTTAATTTATGTTGGTATATTTTGGAGTTTTTTTTTAATTTTACCGAAAAAAAAGTAAACGCAAATTTTAAAATATGACAACCAATTTTCTACACATTTCACAATTTTATCTATGCATATTATTTGTAATTCGGCTTCATGGAAATGTAAAATTGTTGTCATTAAATATGCAATATAAAAAAAGGTAGACGAATCAGGAATCTTTGTAAATCAATGTGGAAAATATCGTGCATTATAGTGTTTTCCGGTGATTTATAAAATGTGTGTGCATATTTATACACGAATGATGATGTTTTATGAACGCTCTATTCTTGATGACAAAGTATAAATGCGAAAACAATAGAAAAATATGCAGCATTGTGAAAATATCCACCTTCGTGTATATATTGTGTTCGGTTGTGTTAAAGAAACCGACAAAAGTCACACTTAAAATTCAATGGTTATCAACATAAACACCTTTACCATCGCCATTCAACATTTAAACGATTGATATGGTCAACGATGCCGGAATTGTAGTCATTTACACAGATAAGCAATTGGAATATAACATACAAAACATACTTATAAATATATTTATACAGAATATGGTAGAATTTTTTTATCAGCCCGACAAAATCGAACAAATCATCATAATCACAGAAAATTTTGTGAATAGAAACTTTAATGTGACAAAGAACATTAAATACGTGAAATGGGAATGAGCAGTTTTGTAGTATATCGCATAAAATCGAAAATAAATTGAGCGAAGAAAAAAATCGTTCTATTTCAACTATGAACGATACATTAACAATCAAGAAGAAAATAAAACGAAAATGCATGCTTTGCCATGTTCGATAAGATTTAATAGTTGCACATGTTCACGTTCGTATCCTGAATACGACATTCCCGCATCCAAATATGGTGGCATTCCATTTTGTCTAGGGGATCGTATTTGTCGAAATGTTAAAAACTCTTTTATTGCTAAACGAACATTTATTTCGGTAATAATCTATCTCATTAATAGAATCACGTGTCTTTCACACTTTTTAATTACTACATGTTTTCGCATCCATTGTTATATATGATGCACAATCACATCCACATGTGGAACATTGTTGTTTGGTTGCACAAATTAATGACTTCTCTTGTTACGATATCATGATTTTCGAAGCACACACATTAAAACACTGTGCGATGGCAATGCCTTGAATTATTGCTTTATTTCTTCTAGTATGGTTTTGTGATTGTCAATACTATTATATATAATATATATCACTGATTTATCACCGACATTTAATTTCATAAACTCTCTCATGAGAGAGTGTTTGTGTGTGCGCGCGATTGTTGTCTGTGTGTATTATTGCGAACGCAACAATCGCAAATCGATGCCAACGAACCATCTGATGGAGATAAAGTAATTTTTTGTGTTTTACGTTTGCCATTAATGTTTGTTGGTGGCGTACTTCTATTGCTATATTGTCAACATTATTTGGTTGGACAAACCCTCACTTTAAGTTGAATTACCATTTATGTCAGATGGAATGGTTAGCGCGTTCTCTCTCTCACATAAAATTCATGTCTGCGTGATGCGTGTGGAAAACGGAAGATGAAACGATAGTCTCTCTATATCATCGTTCAATCGTGTATATGCGTGTTCGCGAAAAAAAGAAAAACCGTTTCCATAAGAAAACGTACAGTGGTCCCATTGAGTTCATTACTCTTGATGCTTATTTGCTCTCCTGCATATCTCGGGTATTTTTGGGTGTGCGTTTGGATTTTGTTTGTGTATGCGTGTGCGTAAACATATCTGAAATTGAAGGAACCATTAACGTGGCTTTGTATTACTTGAATCATTTCATTTCGATAGATGCAATAGATAAGATAGATTCGTTATACGATGATTTCAAAAGAAGTGAATGAGCGTTAACCGAAGGCGAAACTTTTTTGTTTGGTTCAACACTCTTGCAAACATCCAAATATTCAATGAAATAACATTGCTTTGCCAAAAACAAATTAATTACATCAATGTAGACAACTATGTTGTTGGATATATTTATATATTTTCATTTAATAAATCCTCGAATCGTTTGGTTCTCAAGCGTCGCATACGCATTTTACTACATATGTATACACCAAATAATTATTAGTAGACGCATTCAGAAAATTTTATAGTCTCTTCATTTTTCCATTCAGCAAACTATGTATATACAACATTTGCCCTTCACAATGAAATTATATAAAAAGCAATTCTCTTTTTTCTTATTTTTCTGTTGCTTTGGATTTAACGCAAAAGTTATTTTGTGTCGACGAGCAGAAATGCTAGCACAGACAGGCTGGCTGTTTGATTCAGTTCGGTTACCATTTCTTAAATGTATGTCATTGTGCGAGTTCGAAGATAATCCCAATAATCAATTCAGTGTTGCACTGTGGCACATATCATTTCAGAATGACTGGCCGTTTTCTATTTCTTTTGGTAAAATTGCTACTATTCGCTTTTTTCTTACTTATTTTTTATCTCTCTATTTTTGGTCATTCCCTTCTCTCTCTCTCTCTGTATTCTTATAATCACGTTTGAGTTTTGTATGTTTGTCGTTCACGCAATACGACATCACATTTAGTTTGAGGCGCATTTTTAACCGTTTATGTTAAGTTTCCGTGGATTTAGTTTTGCTAAAGTCATAAATTCTACGCTTTACTATTTCACATTACTTCATTCTACTTTATCTAGTTGAAGATATACGTTTTATGTTCTTATTTTCGTCATTTTTTCTGTCCTCAGGAAAGTATTAATGTTTCATCCCTTAAGTAATTTTTGATAAATTAAGGGCAATAAAAGTTGTGCTAGCATAAGGCAAAACTAAATCGAATGTCTGAATGAGCGGGAAGAGATAGAGAGCAACAGAAACTATTATCGTCAAGAAAAAAAAATCGCGTGTGTGTATTTATTCGTGCGCTATTCTGCTTCGGATATCAACAAATATGATTTCAGCCAGATGATGATCGATGCTTTGAAAATAAAATTAATATGACTTTATTTGATTTTCGATATTTGTAGCGAAAAAAAGGGATATCAATAAACGTTTTACGATTATGCTTAATAATGCTTTCATTCAAAAGTCGCTCACTCGCCCACCACCCCATCTCTCTCTTTTTCTCACTCTCTCGTTCGTTCTATTTGCTTTGTTGGATAAAAATCATTCAGCAGAAAAATTATGGAGCATAAGTAATGATTTCAATTCCACTAGACTGAATTTTTGCTAGAATGATTTCGTTGAAGCGTAATGCAAATTTTCAAATGTTCATCCTTCATTCAAATTAGAGGGCAAAGTTTCAGTTACTCGTTTTCATTTGCGCTAGCGCATCCGCGAATAAAGATTCTATAAATTCGATGGAGCTAACGTTTAAATGCTTAGAGCAAGCAAATTTGGAGCGTGTTACACGCGAAACGAAATCGAGATGAAAAACTAAAATAAAAACTTGAATTTGATGGGTGAATTTTCGTCGCAACATCATTTACGCTCTTCTAATGTTTGCTTTAAAAACAGTGAATTGCTTTCGAAAACTTTTATCGCCGTCGATGCTCGTCAATAAACGCGCGTTCAACTTTTGGGCCACTTTGCCAACGATTTCAGTTAATATTCGCTTCCATAAGCGAAGCCACATAAACGTATACTTACAGCAAATTAGATGAGCTCACTTCGCAATCTCTCTTCGCGTGTGGTTTTTTTCTCTGTTGTTGTTGTTGTTGTGCGATATGGTGCCCGTTTTTTATCCTCAACGCCAACCACAATAGATTCACATAGTTTTCTCTACTTTATTGCAATGCGAAAAGTTTTGTTGATTTGGTGTCTTTTTTTAATGCGTCATTCTTCAATTTCGAGTCTATGATTTATATTGAATACCCAATGATTGTTGATAATCTTGTGCAAAAGTAACTCGCGGGTAATCGTTGATTGATCGTCTAGGCTTGTACAGAGTATACACTTTACTTGATTTACTTTGCGATTCTTCCATCTCTTCTACATAAACTTTATGTAAGTCAATAAATTTCAATATCTTTTATCCAGTCATAGATATACAATGCATAATTGTCTATGCCATATGCTATTGAAATCAACAATAATTCTCTACGGTGCACTTCAAATAAGAAGTGGATGGAAAGGCAAGCAGCGTAAAATATTCGAAATTCACTTTATCGCCACACGGCGAGAATGGTTCTATGTGTTGCTTTGGCTGACAAATCAATTCAACAACAACAACAACAACAAATCACGCATTGCATTTTCGTCTCATCGTTGTGTGTTTCAATGTCATATTCAAACATGCCCGTGTAGCTGTTTTTATTTGCTTAATTTGTTGAAGTGAATGGATTGGAAGCGTTTCATGTATTTTGAAGAATTACAAGCGTTTTGGATCCTAAAATAGTTTGTGCGTGTGTCTCAGTGTGTGTATGTGTGTACGTTACGTGCACTATTATCATCTAAGATGATTCATCTTAATGTTATTGTTTTTTTTTTTCTGTTGACGCAAATAAATACACACAATGGCATGCACTAATCTCAGTCATTCAGCCGAATGTGTCCCATATAAATACAAGGAAATCCCATACCAAACAAGGCACGAACGCGTATGTACTCGATTTCAATTTTCGTTTCAAAATAATAAGTATTTATGATTACAGGAGAACATTTTCTCTCTTTTCTTTTTATCATTTTTCTCATTGATACATGATTGGCATACTTGAATGTATAACAACTCGATAACTCTGAAATGCAATGCGCAATAGGTGAAAGATGTTTGCAAAACCGATACTTAAATCAAATGTCTCTCGCTCTTTAGTATTTATTGCAGTATGTTCGGTTTTGTTGTGCCATAGTTTGGT